ATTCACTTAAAAAGCAAAAAATTTGAAGTTAATACTTTTCCATAAACAAATTATGTAATTTAAAAAACTAAAATATTAAAGCTTGGAAATTAGAACTTAATTATTGAATTTATTATTATTATGTGAAAACATTGAGTCCAAAGATTAAAATTGTGCATGTTATCCAATTGTTTAATTTATTATTACAGAACTTATAGAACTGGCAGTCCAACTTCAAGATTATCGCTTAGTGGTATTTGTTTACCCTGGCAAAAATAAAGGTTTTTCATGACAATTTGATTAAATTAGGTAGGCGGTGTGCGAGCGCGCGTGTTACATAAAAAATGCGCACATTTTGTTGATCATCATCAAAAAAATTTTTAGTGAAAAATAATTTAACAAAATTTAAAATTTATATTATTCTTTCTTTTTTATTTGTCAATGTTCATATGCTTTTTCAAAATTAAAATCTTGAATATCTAAACCATTTAGTAAAATCATTAAATGACTATTCAATGTATCCATCTACATGCATTCTGTTTCTCAATTGATTTTTATCAGATTTGTTTGTGAAAATATTCTTTCAACATGTGTGTTGGAAAAAGGTATAATGAGTGTTATTTTAACAATAATTGTTAAATTTGGATAATTGAAATAAAATTTTCATCTGTATCCAAAATGCGTTTCCACAATTGAATAAAATACATTCCTGTATTTTTATAGGGATACAAATAGAATTTTAGAGAGTTCCACCTTCCTTTTTCAACAATTCCACAAATTCATCATTCACCAATTTAGTATCTCCATAAATTTTTCTAAAACTCTATCTCACTCTGACCATATAGATTTAAATCATTTTCAGTATCAGGAAATTCATTTGGATCAAAAATTCCAAACAAAGAAATAGTTCAGAGTCAGGGAATCTATCATTGATGGCTTTTATCATTGCTAATGAGTAATCTCTAACAAATGAAGGTGCTGAAAGATAATTTTTTTCTAAATAATTTTTGAATATCATGCCATGACTTGGTAGAACTTCTCCATCACCTATAAATTTTGCTATTACCTCTTTAATTGCAGCATCAATGTTTGGTTTATATTGTGGTAAAGATAAATTATCTAATTGAAATATTTTATTAATCTTTTCAAAATATTTGTTAAATCAGCAAGAAACATTGTTGCAGAAATAAAATCTTGGTCCAATTGCCCAAGTAAAACATTTGCATGCTCATCACCTTCTAACATATCATCATTTAAAACATCAAGTACTGAATTCATGATTTGATGTAAATTATGTACAGAATTTGATAATGACAACCATTGAGTGCCACATAAATTCAATACTTTAAGTGTTGGCTCATCATTAATTTCCTGCATCAATTTTAATAAGTTTAGTCTTTTATGTGATCTAGAAATATTTTTTCATATTTTTGAAAATATTCTACTTCATCAGAAGTATCCTTTCCAGCTAAATAAAGTCAATGTGATATACAATCAATTGAGGTTGTAAAAGGATTGATTTTTTTTAACCTTGTGGCAACACCACTTTTATTTCCTGTGAAAGCTTCATCACTTCCAAAATGAATTATTTTGTGATATGATATTTTGTTTGAAATACAAAATGATAAGATTTGGTTATAAATATTTTCTGCAGTGGTGGATTCTAGATCCCAAATATTTCATATAAGGAATATTATTAACAATATATTTTTCCACAATTGCTAAATCTTTATTATTATAAATACTGTTGGCTTCATCCTTATACTCCAATAAATTGAGGAGTTCAACTCTTCAAAAAGTGATTTTTTATTACAGAAGCTATACTATCCAAAATCAGAAGCAAATTTAGGATTTATATAGCTCCCATATGTTGATCTAGGAGTAGATGATTTTTCTAAAGCAAGCATGTTTCAGAATAGAAGTTTTTTCAGTAATTATTAATTTATTATTATTTTCAAATTGTAATGTCATTAATTTACATAGATCAGGATAAATATGAGAGGAAAGATTTTGTTTAAATAAAAATAATCATTTCTCATTAATGAAATAATTGCTAATTGATTTTTATTTATTTCATTCTGAAGTTGTGATTCTGATGTTTCATGTTCATTGGTTTTTAATGTCTTTTAATTCCTTCTAGTCTTAAATCTATTGTGCCCTGTGCAAATTTTGTACTTCCATTTCTACTTCTACAGAGTTCACAAAAAAGGCCTGTATCTTCATTTTCTTCATCTTTCCTAACCATGCATAATCATGAAACCAATTTTTGTTAACAGTTTTTCTATTATGTTTTTGTTGATTAAATGAATAAATAGTATACATGATATGGTAATTAGCTAATTACCGTAAATACGTAATTCGTAATTAACGTAATTAATTACCACTTTCACTCTTTAAAAACGTAATTACGTAATTAATTACGGGTGACGAAACTAATTACGGGTGACGAAATTAATTACGGGCGACAAATTAATTACTATTGTGAAAATTTTCTATGCAAACCGTTGTTGACACTATACATGGGGATGGTAATTGCATAATTACCGTAAGTACGTAATTATCGTAGTTAATTACCATTTTCCTCTTTAAAAACATATTAATTGCCGTATTGCATAATTACGGGTGACGAAATTAATTATGAATAACAACGAATTAATTATTGGAAATATCATAATACAAGTCACTCCCGTTATAACAACACTCTCCGTACAAACAAAAAATGTCAGTATTAGTATGCCGAGAATGTCATTATAACGGGAGTTCATATAGAAGTCATATGAGAATCATTATCATGTGATTTTGCAATTTTATTTTTATTATATAATTTTTTTTATTTGATTCATGTTTTATCAGGAAATTTAAAACTTACGCCGGGTCAAAATTGACCAGCATTATACAGAAGTGTTATTATTATCAGAATTTTCCATGATGCCGGTCAATATTGATCCAGGAGTAAGTTTTATTTTCTTTTGTTTTTTCAGAAATGAGAATAATTTTGATTGCTTCTTCCATTATACTGACATGTCGTTATAATAGAATAAATTTTATAATTCTAAAAAAAAGTTCATTATACTAGTATAACGAGATAAATAATAGGTGTCATTTAATTTCGTCACCCGTAATTGATTTCGTCATTCGTATTGATTTCGTCACCCGTAATTAACATTAATTTCGTAATTAATTTTTTACGTATTACGTTTTTGGCAAAATAATTACCATCCCATGTATAGTCATGGCGAAATATTGAGTAAATGGCATAACCCACTAAAATAACAATGATGATGTTGAGAAAATCAATAATAATATCAACAATGAAACAAAAAGTTTTAATTCATAACTCATACGGTTCTGATTCAGTCAACAACAATTCCAGGATCTTCAAAAACAGTTATTGGATGAATTAATTGTACTAGGGTTGGTTTTCAAGCCACTAGCCAAAGTGGAGTTGTTGAAATTAATAAAATGGTAACAATTATTTATTTTTATTTTCAAGTCAGCAACAATAAATTATTTCTTAACTAAATAACTTGTTTTGGTATGCATATTTCATTTTAGATGATTTTTTTTTAGCGCGTAATAATATTATTACTAAAATTTAAATTACCAAGCTTCCAAAAACAATAGTTGAGATATACCATTTTCTACTATAATCAGAAATTAGGGATTCAGATTGATAGAAATATGTTTAAATTACTTTAAGACCTAATCAAAAAAATGTCTGGTACAACGAGAGGTAATTTAAATAAGTATTAATAACAATAATAACAACAAATGGTAAACATATTGATTAATATGTACCAATTGATATTATTTTCCTGGTTAATTTAATTGTGAAAATAAATTTTGTAAAATTATTTTTAAAGCAGTAACAAATCAATATTATTTTTCACCCTTTTTTTTAGTGAAAGAAAACTTTATTATTATTGTTAAATTTAGTAAAAAAAATACATGCTAAATTAATAGCTACAAATTTAAATGCCGAGATTCGTTGTTAAATAAATTACTACATATACTGAAAATGCTAACAAAATTTTAAGTAGATAAATAATATTAGGAAGACTCTTAAATATTGTGAAGGATAATTGTATTAGAAATTGCACAGATCCTAGCGAAAACAAAAATAAAATAGCACCAATAATAAAATAAATAATACCCGTAGCAGTACGCTTAATATACCACTCAAAAAACGTGACAGTACCGTACAAAATCATAACAAATAAAGCAACTAATATAACAATTACTATCATTACTATAAAACATACACCAAATAAACAAAATTTAAGAAAAATTGTCTTTAACTCCACAAAAAAAAGTTTTAGAAATCCAAGAATTTCATTAAGTTCTGGAAATATTTTAGGTTTTGGATGCATTTGAGGTTCCTGAGCCTGAGACATCTGAACTTTTCGATGCAGAAATATGAGTGATGCTGCAACAGATAAAATAACAGTAACTACTATGATGATATTATCATATTTAGGATATAGGATCACACCTTGAACAGTTGATGGAATAATTAATAGTATTGGTTTTAGAAACTCATTATAATTACTGATCAAAATCATAATTATTTTAAAAATTTCAATATAAAAAGAATTGTAATTTTTTGAATTATTATACAAGCGAACTGCATTTAAAAAATTTATAAAAGCTGTAGAAACTATTATGTCCTTTTCAAATTCAATCTCAGTTGGTTTATAATCCAAAATTTTTGAATCATTATATATTATTGATATTACTGTAATGCCCCAAAAAACCATAGTTGTTAATCCTTGTGTAATTGCATTTGTTGTTATATCACATCCAATAATCATTCCAAGTGTACTGAGAATTATACTTAAAAAATTTAATGAAATTATAAAATCAGACTCAGTCATTTTTCTCTTTTTATATAAAGACCATGAATGACTGAAAATGAAAATGTCCAATACTAATAAGGACACATCAATAAGATATAAGATAGAATTAGGTTCATCAATATTAGTGGCAGAAGACGAATCAACATTTTCGTTGAATAAAGGTGGCGAAAGAGGTGAAGGGGAAATTAGAGTATCAGAAGAAGAAGTGGTGGATGAAGAGGAAATAGTGGAAGAAGTAGGAACAGTTGAGGAAGTGGAAATAGTTGAAGGAGAGAGTGGAGGTGGTGGAGCTCTAACAATAGGAATCAAAAATAAACATAACAAAAGAATAATTAATGTGAATTTTCTAGAAAATAATGTCAGTTTTTTAATATTAAAATTTTCCATTTTGAAAAATAAATGGAGAAAAAAATAGCGAATATTTCAGAATACTTTGGGAAAATTTTAAATTAAATCTTTACTAAAAAAGAACATTGAACATTGTTTGTAATTGCAATGCTCGCAGGAACCAATTAGGTTATATGGGGTGTGGACAAAAAAGCAAATGAAAATCAAAAACTGATAACATTGTAACAATTAGCAAATTGAAATGGTGTTTCCAAATAATAAACGACATCAATTTTATTTACTATTACTCTTTTCTAATGACACTTCCCGTACAACCATTTTGACAGTTTCAAGGTTGGGCATATTAGTGTACACACTAAGCATCATGAGCGATCAATTCCAGCATAAGTTTAAATTTTCCAATAGCTGTTGATTACCATCCCAACCAATGTTGTGTTGTTTGTCGAAATGTTATCAAGTCCACTACTACTACTATTAAGTCAAAAACGACGAAAGTAAAAACTTTGATGAAATTAAAAATTATTTAATTGAAAAATTTATTTAACCGAGATCTATCGGTCTTATGATTCAACTGCTAAAATTTCATACATGTTTAACGAATTGAAAATAAATTCGACAATAATAATAAACATTTCGAATTCAAACTTAATATTAATATTAATAATAAATAAAAATTTTCTCTGATGAATTGCAGATCATGTGTAAAAAGATCCGTCTAAAATTGAATGAACATTGAATTGTTGAAGCTTTTTAATTATTCTGCTATTCGACGCTCTAGCCAAGCAATTATTACAAATCGAATCTTTCCCTTGTTTTCCCAAGTGATAAACACTAATAATTATACCACCACCACTATCACTGAGGTTGAAATGGAGATGAATGTAGAAGACTACAATGTTATCACCGAGGGAAAGGCTAACATACTTTTCCCAAAAAACAATGAAGTTTTTTATAACAATGTGCAACAATTTAATCGAGATATGTCAATCGCGGCAATTAGAACATGGAATGAAATAATTTCCGAAGAAAAAGAAACCAAGCTACGAAAAAAAGAAAAAAAGGGAAATAACTCAAGTGTAGAAAGTCAATGTATTTAATGTATTTGAGTCTTTAAAATTCCCCTTTCTTTTTTGCTTTTTTCCTTTTGCAATTCATTATTTATTTGGTTGATGCATTTGATTTATTTATCAATTCATCTTAATTTATCATTTACTAATATTCAATGCTTACCAATAAATTTATATTTGTAGCTGATTCAAAGGTATTAAAAAAAACAAATGATAGATCGTGATTTTTATTGCCATTTTTTTTATTTGCTGATTATCAATTTTATTTATGTTTTTTTTCTCTCTGGTATATAAAGAACTTTTATAAATTTACAATTCTAGAAGCATTGTCAGCAAGTGGATTAAGATCTATACGTTACGCAAAAGAAATACCAAATATTCAATATATTATTGCTAATGATTTAGAATTAGATGCTGTGAATTCCATCATTAGGAATGTAGAATATAATAATATAGATAAAGATTTGGTGAGAGCTAATCAGGATGATGCATGGTAAATATCAAAGATACCTACCTGATTGATCAATTATAAAGTGCTATTTTTTAAAAAATAATGGTAATGATAACACCAGCTCTATGGAAATACATATATTTAATTACTGTAATTTGTAATAGCGCAGTTTTGTATCAACATAGAAGTCATTCGAATCGATTTGACGTTATTGATATTGATCCGTATGGAACGGCCGCTCCTTTTTTAGATGGTGCGGTTCAGGCAGTTCAAAACGGAGGTATTTATCGTTTTCTTCTCATTGTTGTTGCTGGATAGTTGAATAATTACTTTTTTCTTTATAGGTTTACTCTGTATTACTTGTACTGATTTGGCAATTCTTACTGGTTCTAATTATCCTGAAAAATGGTGAATATTTTTATTGTATTCTAAAAATTTTTTTTTTGATCGATTGATTTTTTATTAATTTTTAATTTTTTCTAGTTATGCTAATTATGGATCAATTCCTATCAGGGGAGAGCATTGTCATGAAATGGTTTGTTTGTAACCGATTATTTATTTTATTTTGATTTCTAAATATCTTTACATTTTTATATTAATGCAATTTTAATCATTGTCCTGAAAAGGCACTTCGTATTTTGATTAATACAATTGCAACATCTGCTGCAAGATATCATCGTCAAATAGTTCCTGTGTTATCATGTAGTATTGATTTTTATATTAGAGTTTTTATTAGAGTTTTTAGTTCACCTCTTGAAGTTAAAAAAAATTGTTGGTAAGTTTTTTTCATCTCTTGCTTTTTTTTATTCTCACCATCTTGTGTATATATGTGTGTGTGTGTGTGTGTGTGTGTGTATTTATTTATTAATTTTAACATTTATTTTTTTTTTTTTAGTAAATCATCTCATCTTTATGTTTGTTCTGGGTGCAAATCTTTTTACTTGCAACCTCTTGCTAAAATGTTTGAGAAAGGTTCATTTGGACCAATGACTGGTCCAGTTGTAGATAGTATTTGTGAAAATTGTGGAAATAAATTTCATGTAATTAAATTAAATTTATACCAAATATATATATTTTTTTTTTAATTTTGTTTGTATATTTTAGGTAGGAGGTCCTATATGGAATCATTCCATTCATGATAAAGATTTCGTTCTTAAAATGTTGGATCATGTAAAATCATCCAACGAAGAGACTTACAAAACACACGCAAGAATGTTGGGAATGTTGACAGTTATTTCAGAGGTAAAAACACTAATAATAAATATATATATATATATATATATTTGTCATTATCATGATTAATTTATATTTTATAATTTATCATTTAGGAATTGGATAGTCCGCTTTATCATAGCATACCGGTACTTTCTGGAGTAATTCATTGCATTAGTCCACCTTTGAAAACTGTTTGGTAAAAATTAATAAATAATTTAAATATTATATTTTTTAAAATTTATATTTTTATCATCCATCCATTCATTCATTCATTATTTATTTTTTTTCATAGTTCTGGAATTTTGAATAAAGGATACAAAGTTTCTGCATCACATGCAGCTGCAAACGCAATAAAAACCGACGCACCAATGAGTCTGATTTGGGATGTCATGAAATCGTGGGTAAAATTAAACCCTGTCACGGCAAAAAATATTGCAGAAAATTCACCATCTAAAAAGATTTTATCTATTGAACCAAGGTTTATTTTATACTGTTAAATTTATGTGTGTGTGTGTGTATATATATATTAATATTTAAAAAATTTTATTTTTAAAGTTTTATTGCAGATTTTAATACTCATAAAGATGTAGAACCTCCCTCAAGAAAAATCAAATTAGTTAGATATCAACAAAATCCAGAAAAAAATTGGGGACCAAAACCAAGAGCTTTGGGAAAAAGAAAAATGTTTGTAGTAAATTTTTTGATTGATTTGTTGATTTGGTTGATTGATCACGTAATGAAAATAAAAATAATCCTTATTCTTATTATTCCTATCATATTATGTAGTAATGATGTAGCCAAAAATGACAATGAAAATAATTCAACAAAAAAATTTAATCTTGAAGTTGAAACATCATCATCAACCATAAAAGATGAAAATGTTTGATTATAATTAATTGCTCAAATATAATTATTTTTTCTAAAAGTAATATTTATGTGTAAAAGTAATATTTATGTATAAAATTTAGCAAATAGATTTTCCAATTTACATAACAAATAAAATACTATATAACTTGTTTAACTTCTAATTTATATATATATATATAATATATATATATTATATTATAAAATATAATAATTAAATTAATTAATTAATTAATAAATAATATATTAAAAAAAATGTGTATGTATGTATGTGTTAATGTGTGAATTATGTGAAGTTCTATGGATATATAATTAAAATAATATTTTGAAATGCGTGAAATGAAAAAAAAGAATGAAATAAAATTACATTTTTTTTTATAAAATAAAAATTAATTGTCCCAAATGTTTTTTTTAAATCAAAATTAAAATTGATTGATTGATTCATTATAATTCAATTGTACTTAATTTAATTGTTAATTCCATATTTTTATCCATTAGCTATTAATATTATTTTTATTTTTATTAGTATTAAAATAAGTAAATATTAACGATGTTATTGATAATTATAAAGAATGATAAGGAACAAACCTCTTGATATTTCTTTTCTAATTCCCTTGTATCTAAACTTGACTCATCTTTAATCTACAATAAATAACAATAATATATATATCATCATTAATAATAAATAATAATTTTAAATAATAATAAAGTTTTTTTGTAATATCTATTTACATTTTCAAGTTTCATTTCCAGAGATTTTATTTTTCTTTCGGCATTACGTTTATCCTCTACCAATTGACCTTTTTCATGAACCGATTCTAAATATTTCATTTCAACCTGTGTTAATTTTTCATCCAATCTATTATACTCACTTTTTGTTGATTCTAAAGAATTTTCTAATTCGAAAACTCTCTTTTCTAATTGTTTTTTAATTTCTACTAGATTACCATTACCATTTTCATTATAATATTTGCTGCTACTGCGACTATTATTACTATTTAATGACATGTTTTTTTGTTTTTTCTCCAGTGATTCTAATTTTTTCTGCATATCGGTCGTAAGACTTTTCATTTCTTCTTCATGTTGTTTTTGTAATGCACTTATTTTGCTTTTATAAGTTGCAGCAGTTTGTTCTGTTCGTAAAGTAAGTTTTTCAACTGTTTGAATGAGATCATGTTGTTCGTCATCTTTTATGGAAAGCTGTTTGTTTAAAGATACAAGTTGCTGTTGAAGCACATCTAATTCTTGTTTTTGTTTAGATAATAATTCACTATTACTATTATTATTATCTCTCTCTATATTTTTCTCCATTAATTTAATCGATTTTAATTGTTCTTTAAATCTATCCAATTGTCTCCTTGCATCTATTAATTGACTTGAAAGGTTTCTTTTTTCTTCCAATGTTTTCGCTAATTCAGTTTCGATTCGCTTCTTATCAGAACCAGCAACAACCTTTTCTCTACCAACATTGATCAACTTTTCTTTCATAACCTTTTTGTCTCTAATTGCATTCTCCAATTCATCTCGTATAATATTTAGCTCTGATTCCTTTTGATTCATTTGTAGTTCGATTGACTCGTAGCTTTGTATCAAATCTTGTTCTTTTTGTCTCCACTGCTCCCTTTCTGATGCCGTATCTTTCATAAGAGTTTGCATTCCTTTTTGATGCTCGTCCAATATTATATCTTGTGCCTTTTTCTGCCTCTGTAGGTCTTTTATTATTTCTTCTAATCCACTGGTTTCATTTGATTTGGCATTATTCGACTCTGCTAATTCCTGAAGTTCCTTTATTCGTTCTTGTGATTCGTTACATTCTGCCTTAAGGGTTTGATATTGAGTTTCCCATTCAACTTTCATAAATTTAAGAACATCAGCTACTGTCTTATGAGCTCCTTGGACTTCTACAAGATCACTTTTTAATGCAAGTTTTTCTTCTTCTGAATTTTGTATTTCTTCTTTTAACCTTTCTATTTCTTTTATTAGTTCTTGCTTTTCATCAATTAATTGTGATTTCTCCTCATTCAAATCCTGATTATCTTTTTCCAATAATTCTCTTTCATTTTCAACATCTCCCAATTTCTTTGAAATTTTTGAACTATTAGCTTGGGATTCTTGATGTTTAACTTTTAGTTCATTATAAGATGACTCGAGTTCTTTTAAAGCTTCTTGTTTCTTGTTTATTTCACTGACTTTTTTATTATAATTGTCTTTCAAAGTTTTGATTTCTTCGCGAAGTTCTTGATTAAGCTTTTCAGAATTATTTTTAAACGTTTCTTTTAAGGTCTTGATTTCCTTTTTTTTGAGATCAAATTCAAGGTTTAATTCATTTATCATTTCATCTTTAGCCATTAATTGATTTTTAAGGTTGCTATTGATATTTTTAATCTCTTCAAATTTATCACTTAGACCTTCTAATCTGGTTTCTAATTTATCTTTGCCAGATTTCATTTCGTCAAATTCTAATTGAAGTTGACCATATTCAATTTCAAGTTTTTCTTTATCTTTCAGTTGACTTTTAAGATCATTAATTTTTTTTTCAGAATTTTGATTTTTTATATTTAATAAATTTATTTCTTTTAATGTTTTTGAATGTTCTGCCTTTAAATTATCGTATTCCTTTTCAATATTTTCTTTCTTTTCACGTAATTCATTTAATAAAGTCAATTTGGAAGAAAATGATTCCGACTTAAGATTTGTTTCTTTTAATTTCGATATTTCAACTTCGTATTCTTGTTTTAATGAATTCATTTCATCTTCGTATTCTTGCCTTAGCGCATTTTTTTCATCTTTGAAATTATTTTCAATGGATCTTAATTCTTTTTCTAATAGATTTTTTGATTTTATTAATTTTCCAATTTCAGTTTCTATTAACTCCTTTTCGTTGTAATGACTTCTTATCAATTCATCTTTTTCAGCTACAAATCTTTCGTTTAATTCTGATTTTATGCGTTCTTCATTCTCGGCTAATTCTTTTTTCATTTTCTCCAATTCATCAAAATGCTTGTCCATCAATTCTTGTTTTATTAATTCTATATCACCACCGTTATTGTCATTGTTGTTATTATTACTGTTATAGTCTTCTAGTGGCTTATCGTAAGACATAAATGAAGTATGAGTTGTATTAGTACTTGTGGCACTATTTGTTGGAGTATTAAGGTCAGAAAAAAAATCTCTTGAAGATCTTGAACTCGTCGAAGTAGAATTTGTTTTGGTATATTGTAATAAATCAGCTTCTAATTGACTTATCCTAGTAACTAATGGCTTAGTAGCAGCTTCTAATTGTTCGTCTTTTTGCGTGATCATATTATCCAATTCCAATTCTAAATCTACTTCACGCTTAATATTTTCAACCATTTCTTTGCCGACAGTTTCTAATTCATCCTCTAGAGCAGAAATTCTTGATGCTAATAAAGCTATGGCAGCAGCAGCAGTATTAGGCGGATCTTTTTCAGCTACAGTAGATGCTTTCGCCACCAAATCTCTCGGGTCTATGCTATTAATATCAACATTTGATGATAATAATTCTTTTAAATCATCCTCTAATAAACCCAAAGAAACCTTTTTCCTACTATGATCTATTTCTACCGCATCTTTCTCCACCTCCACCACCACTTTCTCAGCCACCTTTTTTATTATACTAGTAGGTCTAGCTTTGGTAGTTTTGGTAGTAGTATCGGCGTTATTTGACTTTGTGGTAGTTTTTGGGGTTGGGTTTGAGAGTTTTCTAGGTGTGTGATTGGTGGCGGTGGTGGTGGTGATAGGGTTAGTTTTTGCATTAGATCCAAATTTTCTACCGACAGTATCATTTTTACTAGTATTGCTGTTATTACTATTAAAACGACCAACGGTGGATTTATTATTATCTTTGTTTTCATTCTCTTTAATACTACTACTTTTACCAGAATAATTAGCATTAAATTTATTATTAGTTGTTGTGGTGGTGGTGGTTGTAGTGGCAGTAGTGTTGTTAAGCTTAAGTTTATTATTGGTGGTGTTGAATTTATTAGCAAGTACTTTATTAGGGGGGATGTTAGCGGTTTTATTAGTAGTGTTGGCTTCCTTTGATTGTTCAAATAGTTTTGCTCTATTTTTTACGCTTGACATTTGTAAAATTTAAATTTTTCTATTTTAATAATTTTCTATTATACCTAAATGTCTATATATATATATATATATTTGGTTTACAAGAATCCATATATACAAGGAGTGTGAGTGTGTAAAAAATGAGTATAATAAAAAAAAGTTTCAAATTTTCAATTCTTTATATTGTTTAATTTTCCCAATGAACACAATTTAAAAAAAAAAAATCAAAAAATAAAATCACAAATATATTGTATGCTAATTTCTATTTGTTTTATTTGTTCAACAAAAAGTATGGTGGGTACATTTACTAATTAAGAAAATAATTGACTGTGTTGTAAAAATGGTTATACAACGTATTTATTTATATATATAGAGAAAATGTCAAAAACAATGAAAATAATATTAAAAAACAATATTTTTATTATTATTATATACTCAGTAAAAGAAAGCTATGTATGTAGTGTATGTAGTAGGAAGGGTTTTCGTATATGGTGCGCGTCGTCTATAAACGTCAATAGTCCCGAAACTTAAAATGTAGATCTTCCCCGATACAAGTAATTTATTTTTTATTTTGCACGATTTTTGTTTTGGAAAACAGATTCCTAATAGTTCATTTTTATAATAATTTAAAAATAGCAAAAAAAAATAATCAAAGAAAAAGAAATTAAAACAAATAAACAAATTGAATAAAACATTAAATCTATTTTAATTCCTGAACGATATACTCGGGAATTCTTCTATGGAATCTACAGCATACTCTAATAATTCCATTCCTATATAGATCAATGTATCTTCATGATTTTCTTGAAAATCTTCTGATTGTCATTACATCTAGGGCTTCTGGAACAATATTTAATAAGCCATCCGATATATAATCACACTTCTCTCAAGCATATTTTTTTGCTTTACCCCGATACCTTTCAATAAAGTTTACAATAAAGTCTCGAAAGATAGCACCCACATTTTACAACTGTGTAACAAATGATTTCAATTGGTTTAAAGTGGGGGACGCTATCTTTAGGGAGGTGTTATCTTTTGAGACTTTACAGTAATTAATAATGAAATTCGGGGTAAAAAATACACAAGTTCTCTGCTTCTAAATAGTTTCTTCCAATGCATACTTCTGGTTTTAAAATCAACGATCTACCCTATTTTCATCCATAACTTTAATTTTACCTTTACATAATTTACAGCCTGCTAATAAATCATCTCCCCACAGTCCTCTTTCAATTAATACTTGTTTCATTCCTTTTGGTGTTCCATTTTCAAATACCATAGGTTGTATTTCTCATTTTGGGTTGGGCTTAAATTCGTCCTATTAACAACAATAGAAGCATGATCAGTGGAATTGTAAAATGCAATTATAAGGAAAGGAGTTTCAAAAATTGGAATGGCTTTTAATTCAACTTGTCCCACTAAATCACCTCTTTTCCAATAGCCTTCATATTTTTTTTCCTGGTTTCAAAATTGTTTTGCTTCCTCAGGAACATTTGGGTTATCTGTAATTTGATCCTGGTTTAAACAATCTTGCAAAATCTCAGTTAAAAGCCCACTTATCATATACATTTTTCATTTCCCTTTTTTTTTTAATGGTAATTTACCACCCTCTACCCAAACTCCTCTATTTCCATCATTAGAGTAAAAGATGCACTCATCATGAGTAATCACCATTATTTCCTTCTTTATCAAGATTAAGAATTGGTTCTAAGGTTTTGTCGTCATATACCTTCATAATTAAAGATTTCTTCTAAAAATTTTTTCTATACTTGACAATATCTGGCCTTTATGACAATTTTGCTTAAAAGTATAATTTAATTAAGGTTGCTTGTTAAAACTTCTTAATGACTGCTGAAACTCTGCCAATTGTCAAAACCCCAAATGTAAACTCTGCTGATTGATTTCTGGAGGAGTTTTGGCAAGTAACAATAAACCTAATAAATTCAACCATCTTGAGGCTGTAGTAATACTCATGCTCTTTTTAGTAATTACATCATCTCAATGAATTCTTTAAACTTTGTTGTGTTGTTTTTCCTCCTTGATTTCTTATCCACAATAAGGTTTCTGGTCGAAATTACTTCTCTTAGTAGCCGAAATTGCCAAAAACACTTTTTATAGCCCAAACTATTTTTTATTAATAGCTGAAATTGGGCGAAATTATTTTTAAATTATTTAAATTAAAATAGGTTGATTTATATAAGTTTTTCATGTTCATTCTTATAAAAAATATTGAGAGGCCCAAACTATTGTCAAAGCTACTTTTTTTCAAAATAGTTTGGACTTAATCCACAAGTGAGATTTTTCAGCAATACCCTCATCATCAACTAATCTGATAACCTTTTTATGCTTACCTTGTTAACTAATAGAGATTGATTAATTTAATAATCAATATGATGCCAAATATCTTATTGTCCTTGACTTGCAGGATCAATAAAAACTATTTAGGCTGCTTTTAAGCTAGAGTTTATCCCATTATTCAATCTTTTTAAATATTCAAAAATGGCACTTTTTTTTCACTGTGTCCAGAAAAAATCATATTATTTTTATTGACTGTTAATTCATTTTTCAAAATTTCTATTTTTTTGAATACATTTTTTCCCCCCATCCATTATCTATTACTATTGAATATAAAAAAAAAAATTTCACAAAAAAATCTTAAAATCGGCTTGTAGAGAGATAAATTTAATATATAGATAATAAAAAACATTGTTTATTGTGCTATATTTATCAAAGCATCTGTAATATTTTTTAAAATCAAGGGACAATCTTTTATGTCTAGGGATGTTTGGTTTCGTGGAACCAGTTGAAACGGTTTAAACGGTTTTTTACATAAACCCTTATTAAAATACCAATAGAATTCCTTTTGGAAATCACCATACAAAAAAAAACCAGGGGTTGGTTTCAAACCGTTTGTTAGTGAAACCGTCCCATCCCTAGATATGTCGCGTGTGATCGACATTTTAAATTTCGGACTCATACATAGATGCCTGCACTATGCATATTGGAATTATCCATTTTTTTTTCTGTTTTCTGATTGCAAGGATGACATATTCTCAAATATGGGTTTAAAATTTTTATTTAATATATATTACTATTTGTATATCCCGAAAATTCGCGGCGGACAAGAATTTTTTTAGTATAAAGGATAACCAAAAAATCCTCTAAAAAACTTTGTTCTGAACAAAAGATTTTGAAATAGACCAAAAGTGCTAGAAGTTAACCAATAAATACAAACTGCCTAAATTTTTTAAAAAAATCACCCGATTTATTAGTAAAACTTTTGTTTTTTTAAAAAAAACCCCAAATTATCCATTATTTAAATTATAAATACCATTGGGACTTGAGAAGCAATTGGAATCATGATGATTGAAATTCCCCTACTAATATACTTCAATAATTTTTGGGGATTTGAAATTTTTTTATTGGTGAACCAACTATTAATCTAGGTTTGGTATTACAAATTTCAGGTTTAATAATCAAAATTTAAAAAATCCACAATCAAATAAATTTGTTATTATTATATATACTTACTTCAATATTTAAAAGATTCACAAATCCAATTGCAAATGGAAATATTAAAGTTGAATCATTTTTATATAAATAATATGAACTACTGCCACCACTTTTAGTATTAGAATCAATGACATTGCTTTCATTAATATAATTGTTTTCATCATTATAACTTTCATTATTGCTAGAGCTGTTATTATTATCTTCAAATTTCTTATTCCTGACCATATTTTGTATTGTTAATGACATTACAATGAATAATGGCAGTTGAATAAATGGTAGTATAAATATTTTTAAAGGCCTGTAATTATTATCTTTATAAATTTGTTTTTTCTTCAAGTTAAACTAATAATAAAAATCAAAAAATCAAAAAATCACTAATTTATTTATTATATTAATTATGTTTATTAATTTACCTACCTACCTGTCTTTTAAATTCCTTTTGAAATTCCGAAAAACTTTTCCTTTCAACTTTAAATTTTGAAATCAGCCTATTTTTAATTGATTCATTCCATCCTTTCAATAGTGGTTGTAGACTAATAGATTTAACAACATTTTTTTGTTGATAAATTGCTAAAGGTAAAGTAAATGAAGATCTTAATATTATAGTTGTAAGAATAATTGTTTTCCACCAAGGTAAGCTCAATGAATTGTGAATTGCTTCTAGAAATATTTGATTGGTTGTTAATAATATCATGAAAAGTTCATTTGGAGTTGATTTAACTAGAGAAAATGATGGAGATGATGATACCAATGAGTAATAATAATATTTAAAATTATTATGGGAATAAGATGACTTTTTATTATTTTTATTATTGCCCAATGATATATTTTTACTTTTAATTGATAAATAGTTTTTTATTCCTTTATTATTATTATTAAATATAAATTTTTGAAATAATAATTTCATTTTTTTAAAGAAAAAATTTTCTTGATCAAACTAAGTATTCGTGTTACAATCATATTTATGATTGACTCCGGAAATTTTAAATTCTAAACTTTTACGCCTTAATTATTATTAACACGTACAAATCATATTGATTTTTTTTTTTTTTTGAAAAAACAATTTATTTATTTTTCACATGAGGAATATGAATGTTGTATGGTATGAATTCCTAAAGAAGACAAGGTGTTGTTATTTATTAATCGTGAGAGATACACTATTTTTTATTTTTATTGTTTTATATAAATGTATAGATATTTATCTTTTATTATTTTATATAATATGTATATTATTGAAAACAAAACGCAGAACAGAATTTGCACTGTCTTTTGGCAATTATTATAGAAAATTCACATCAAATAGCAGATTAACAATTATTAATATTATTAAATATATAAGATGTCAGTGTGACATGACTGTTGCAGGTGATATGTAACGTTTGATTATTTGAAAATTGGGCAATTGTCAAGGCATCACACTACCTTGAAGACATTATAGTCATTCTTACCTTTTCCTTGTGTCACAAGGCTAACCTGGCTAGTTTGCCCTGAGGTATGATGATGCAACTAATTTTCAGAGGGGTATGTGGCCCCAGAGTTTATCAAAAGATTGTATCATTGTTGTCAAGGAATGGCTGACAAAAGTACAAGAGGGAATAAAAAGATTTTTTTAGCTTGCATATCTTATTGGGAAGAAAAAAAAATCCCCAATGCTTACTATATTAGACATGAAAGATCTTGAACACTGTTCTGCATCTACTATTTTGCCTAGTGTTTTAGATATGATTAGCAAACATTCTTTAGATTCATCCCTCTGTCAATATTGGCTCACTGATAATACAGCATACATGTCTGGATCAAAAGGAGGTGCTGTTGTAGAATTCAACAAAATATTAGGAACAAATCCTGTTAGAATTCCTTGTGGATTGATTGCATGTTCCCCATATAGCTTGAACAACATTTGATAATGTTACCTTTGGAAAGATTAATTCTCCCTCTGGATTATCTCTGCAACCATCCATTGTTGATCAGTGCTTTACACTATTGCAGAACAGCAGGAGACATAATATTATCATTTATTTATATAGTGGTTAAAAAAAATAATGTAATACCCTAATAATACATGTTTTAAGAAAATGTTTAATAAAAATGTAAAATTAAATGTTAATAGTTAATTAATGATTGGCATATACTGTAAATATATTATTGCATTATACAACATGGATTTTTCAATATTGTTTGTTTGCACAGGGTTTTGATTAACACTCTTTTGGTGTTAAAAACAGGAATGTTGTTCAACACTATTTGACATCTCTAAAAATTTCCTGATGAACTGTTAACTACTTTTAATAATGATAAAAAATAATATTTGCAAATATATATATACAATATACAATTGAATTATGCTACAAATTCTTTTAAAACATTAGTATAATAATAATCTAAAATTGAATAAAAAGTATACATATATAAATAAATAATTTATTACATAGAAACACATATTTTGAAAATGCAATGTTTAAATTAAGAACAAGATTAACAGGATTCAAAATCAACAGATTGCAATGTCTTTATTTCTTAAACAATGGTTTGTTTTGGTTTTCTTGGGGTGAAGTATGTTGATCTGATAAAACTGGCCTTATGATTATTTAGTGTTGAAATATTTTCAGAATGAAAGATTCTGTGAAATGGATTTTATATTATCCTATTACTTATAGGAGTTGTTATAAGCATCCATCATCATTAAATGTCAGGAACACCAATTGCTCTCTTTCTTATCTTAAATAAACATAACACCTCCAAAGTTTTCTCCAAAGTAGCAATATCATCAAGCTTTAGCAGGGAACCTAAATGCTGGACCCTCAAAATATAATCCATTATCTACTAGATCAATACCAATGCCTTGACATGGAGAGCTAACATAATGATGAGAATTACATGCTGCCCAAATCCCAAATGCACAAACTAAATTTGGGCATCCATTGAAGAATTCCCAAATCCCAAATGTAGGTTAGTTTTCTTTCTCAACCAATAAGTAAGTGCCTGAAATTTGTGAGGATGATCAGCAATCCCTTTGTTATGCTGGATGCTTATTGGACAGGAGAGCAAGGGGATTTGAGGTTTTAATTTAGGCAACATCTATAATAAGAATTATAAGCATCAATTACAAATATGTAGTGTAAAAGGCCCTTACCAGCTAATTGTAATCCTAAAACAGCAGAATCATCAACTGCTTCTTTTGAAAGGTCATGTTCCAAATACTGACTGAGAATGCATTTATTTGTTCACATACATTTACTATGATCCTTAATGATTTATTTGGTGTTACTGATCAAGCAGCTTCTGAATTGAGCATTGTTGAAACATTTCATCACTTGACATTTAGGCATGTCAAAGGTCTAAATATTTGTCAAAAGTCTAAAGCTATGCCAAAAGTCTAAATTAATGTTGAAAGTCCAAATTGATGTTAAAAGTCCAAATAATGTCAAAATGCCTAAATGCTATTGAAACAAAATGCCTAAATGTTGTCAAAATGCTTAAATTACGCTCTTTTCAGGCATTTCTTGAGTGTTACAGTCGGTGCAGCTCAATTATTTAAGCAATATCAAATATCTTATTATTTGTTTATTTATAAAAAAAAAAAACAAATTTTATATGCTAAATTATTTATCTTATTCATTCTGTAAACTTTATACAAATGCTTGCTCAAAATCCACCTTCATTGAATTCATTATCTTCATTATTGCTGTCTGTGTCATTGTCATCATTATCATCATTTTTTTTTCACTATTGGAATCCTTATCTTTGTTGTGCATAAAAATTAAATTTGGGGTGGGGCGATTGGATACAAGATTCTGATTGGCTAATTTGAATTTCACGCACAACATCTTCTTGCCAAATTCAGGATTGTCTAACAATAATTGTTCAATATTAGAATCATCAAGTTCAAGTTCCTAGCTTTAGCTACTAAAACAAGCTTCTTGAAAAAAACCCAATAAAATCTAGTTCCTATAACAATCTTAGAAGTAATTCACAAAAAGATCACATTAATTTTCCTTTGTTGTTACATTGTATCAATGTATATACAATTAATCAGCTAATTTCAAATAAAAATTTGCACTATTAAAAAATTGGCTCCATTCTCAAATTTACTAATATACATTAATGTTAATAGTTAATATTAATTTAGACTTTCAATATTTCAACATTATGGCAAATTGAGTGACCTTGTCAAATATTTCAACAGTCAAAATGCCTAAATGTTTGTCAAAACTATAGCTTTCAACTAACAACTCTACTTCTGAATGACTAAGTTCTTTATTACCTAATCTATATATGATTTGCAAATCAATCTTTCTAGCTGATGTTACCTGTAAGAATTACTTTCTTAACGAGAATAAATCAATATTATAACACGAACAGGTACTTTAATTGTTGTAAAAATAC